GTGGCTGGGGAAGGCTGGACAGAGCCCTGGGCAGGGCTGGCCTGCTCCTCCCTGGCACCTCTGACTGCCACTGTGCTCTCCTGCAGCAGAGCTGCTGAGCCTCCTCAGGCCAGATGGCTCCATCTGAGCTGGGGACGACTCAGTTCCTGCCTGGTTCCTGTAGGGGGCTTGGGCTCCGTTGGGGTCTGAGGGGCACGGGGCTGGCAGGCACCGCCTGGGCAGGAAGCCAGGGAGGGCACAGGCAAATCTGGGGTCACCAGAGGTTCCTGCTCTGGGTCCCTGGCGCAGCCCCTCCTGAGGCTGGGCCTGGGGTAGGGATGGACCCAAGGGTGCTCCTCTTCCTCAGAAGGTGAGGAACTGTGTCACAGGGCCACGTGCCCAGCGTCTGGGCCTTGTGGTGCCCTGTGGAGCAAGTCCCCGCAGGGACAAGATGGAAACCACGGCCGGGGAGCAGGACAGGCAGAGCTCGAGCTGGTGTGCGCTGTCCCTGCATGGGGCTGTCCCCAGGCAGCGCCCCGACAGCTGGCAGCCCTCTCTCTCTGTCCCCTTTGCTCTCTGCCACCCACACCAGAACATCCTCATCCATACCTAGGATGCAGCCCATGTGGATCATCATTTCACAGAGGGAAACAGAGGCCCAGTGAGAGGCCCGCCTGCCCTGCTCCACAGCCAGGACACACAGCCGTGCCCTGGAGCCAGGGACACCTGCTCCTCCCTCAGGTCAGCCCAGGAGGGCCGTGCCTGTCTCTTCCTGTGGGCACATTGGTAGGGCCAGTGGCCGCCACCTAGCAGGGCCGTGGCCTTGGGAGAAGGGTCCCAAGCCTGGGGCTTCTAGCTGTCAGCCTGGGAAGGTGCTCTCAGCTGTCCCTCACGCCCTCAGCCTGGGCTGTGGCCCCAGCAGGTCCCCACCGGTTAGAGGCATTCAGGTGCCTCTGCACTGGGTTTCTCAGGCTGCCTCGGTTCTGGCCCGGCCTGTGGTGCCGGCCCTCACCTCCAGCCCCTGACACTGGATGTTTGTTAGAGATGCTGTCACCTTCCTGGGCACTCCACCCTCAGCCTCAGGCCTGCCAACATCACTGTCCGTGACTGACTGACGGCCTCTGTGACTGACAGGCCATGCCCAGTCGCCCAGCTGCTTTACTGTGCTGTAATCTCCTGACTCCACCCCCGTGTGAGTGATGGCCACTGTCTGCCCCATCACTGCCCGGCTCCATCACGGTGCCAGAGGAGCAGCAGCCTACAGTCGGGTGGATGCTGGCAGCCCCATCAGGCCTCTCTGCCTGGCCACCCAGGCCTCCTGAATCAGAGCTCTTGCTGCAGATAGCTAAGACAGGAATTGATAGGCAGCCAGAAAGGGGTGGGAGCTCGAGGAGGTCAGTGCAGAAGGCGAGACACCAAGACTGGCTGCAGGCACAGCTCAAGAGAGCCAGGCCTCAAGATGGAGGTCTGGTGGCCAGGCCTGCAGGGCTCCCCGGAGATGAAGAGCAGCTCCAGACTATACCTGAATTAGCACCACTGGTGCAGTGAGCCCAGAGGGGCATCGGGCACCAACATGGGCGAGCAGAGCATCCGGACCCATCCTTCTGTCCCTTCCCAGCAGTGCCGTTGTTCTTTCTGTGGTGAGGGGTTATAGATGAGGTTAACCAAGATCGATGTTCCCCATGTAGCCTCACTGTGGGCCTTGCTTCCCTGTTGAATTGGTATTAGCTGAGCGAGTGCACGGTGTTCCCCTAGGTCAGTGGTGGCAAACCCACGGCACCTGTGGAGAAGAGGATAGCCTTCTGGGACCCGGAAGGGAACAGAGTGCGTGGGGAGGGCTTTGAGCATCACTGCCAGGTGTGGCCATCCCGGGTGGGACAGGGGGCCTGGCCGGAGGGTCAGGTGAGGCCTGGTGCTGCCCCAGTGCCTGGGCTGACAGCCCCTGTCTTGCTGCCTCAGGCTCTCCCCCTAGGGTGCTGCCTCTCCACAGGCTTCCCCAGAAGCCTCTCCTGTCTCCAAGCTCCCTGCCGCCCTGAGTGGCGCTGGCTGTCATCTGGGCACTGCAACCCTCCTGATCGTCCTCCTGCCTTGGCCATGCGGTCTGAAGGTTACCTGTGCTGGACACACAGCTGGCTGGGCCGGCACCGAGGACACCTGCAGTGCTCTCTAACTCTGGGCTCCCCTTCCCTTTCTAGGGACCTCCCCAGACCCCAATTCAGTGTCACTTCCTGTAGCTCTTGCCTCACGTTTGAAAGCCACTCTGTTTCTGTCTTATGGTAGCACCAATCAACTCAATCCCTTTCATCCCCTTACTGTAGATATCTTGTAGGCAGTTAGACAGGGCCGGCTCTCGGGGAGCCAGCAAGGAAGACAACGGAGACCCAGTCACTGAAGGCCAGCACTGTGAAAGAAGACAAACTACTACATCCAATGCTTCCCTTGGGATGAGTAGCAGGGATGATATTCTAAACAGGAATCAGTCACCTGGGTGGGAGCCAAGATCTCAACCCGCCCCTTCCAGGAAAGGTCCCTGACCCATCCCTTATCAAACATCCTTGCTTGTTCCTTGCATGCTTGCTACGTGACTGCTTCCCCATTTGATCCCTATTTAATCAATATTACCTAAGTGACTACTTGTAATCTTATTGGTTGATCATAGTTTTGTCCCACCTTGTGATTTCCCACTGGACCAATATTGCCTAAGTGACTGTATTTGGTTTTTTTTTTTTTGGTACCGGGGATCAAACTCGGGACCTTGTGCTTGTGAGGCAGGCGGCAGAACCACTGAGCTAAATCCCCGGCCCCAGCGACTGTACTTGTAATCTTACTTGTTGACTATAGTTTTGTCCCACCTTAAACCCATATCACTTTGTGGCTTTGCTCCATAAAACCCCCTGGGAAACAGGGTCCCCGGGCAGCCCACTTTCCCATCCCCCTCTGCCTCTCTTAGACAGGAGCTTTCTTTCTCTCAATAAATTCTTCCTACTCTTAACCTCTGTTGTTCCTAGATTTAGTCTTTGATTTTAGAGAACAGGAACTCGCTTTTCAGATGTCTAGCAGGTTTTGGGAGTTACATCTCTTCCCCCTATGTCACCCTCAGAGCAGGAGCCTGTGGGTGGGACCCGGATTCCAGTTGCCAGTTTGAACCCCAGCCTGGACTGACGCTGCCTGGCCTCGGGCGGCTGCTTCCTCCCTTGGAGCTTTGGCTGCTTCCTCTGCGGAGGGGAGGGGAGAGCAGCAGGACCTTGGGGTTTTTCGAGGAGCAGCGGGGAGTGTTTGGGAGAGCTCTGCCCCCCTCTTGTATCCTATCTCGATGAGGGGGAGCCTGGAAATGTGGGCATCCACCAGGGCGCTGTCCCAGGGCACAGTGGTTCTGCCCTGGTCCCTTGCAGGTCTGAGCACAGCCAGGTGTGGTGTGGAGCCTGGCATTGTGTGTGCTACACACACACACACACACACACACACACACACAGGGTCCACCGCCTGGGTGTTGCTGGGAACAGTCCTCCAGGGTAGAAGTGACCCACAAATGTGTGGTGGCGTCAGTGGTGCGAGACTGGAGTAAAAAGCGCATGTTTGTGTGCGGGACCGTGGACGCCCTGTTGGGAAGGGAAATGGTCTTCGGGACACGAGCAGCACTCAGGTAGCCCAGTGCTGGACGCACAGGGCTAGAGCGGGTCTCATGGTGGAAGTCGACGTTCTGCCTCGGATGCTGCGCAGCTGCCACGTGGCCTTGAAGAAACGCTGGGGAAATAACCAGGATTCCCACACACTTCCCCAGGCTGTGCAGGCGGTGTACAGGCCTGTGGTCACGCCCTTGCTGCCATGCTGGCTGCTGTCCACTGTGCCCTCTTGGGAATTCGGTTTGGGGCACAGAATGGGGCGGCTCCACGAGGGAAGCCCTGTGGGCCACAGCTCGGGGCCACTTGTCATGGTGGCGGCTGCTGGGCGGGAGCTGCCTGGAGTCCAGCATCAGGTGCTGGAGCCCACGCTTCCTTTCCTTCCGTCCAGCAGGGGAGGGACGGCGGGCAGTCAGGGCAGCTGAACCGGGGTGGCCACATGGGCCCGCAAGGACACTTGTGGCCAGGAGGTGGCAGTGACAGCTGGGAACGTGTCCGGGTGGGAAAAGAAGCCTGCAGCTGGCGGCCTTGCCTGTCCACGCGGCCCCTGAGGGTGAAGGCGCTGGGCCCGGTTGGGGCTCCCCGCCCCAGGTCACAGAGCCAGTGTCGTCCCACCTGGCTGCTGGTGTCTGCCCTGGGCACAGGCTTTCTCCCGAGCGCAGAGCTGCCCCTGGCGAGGGCTGGAGGGAAGAAGGCACAGTGCCCTCCTCTGTCTCCCCCGAGGCTCGGTGCAGGTGACCAGAGCTGTCGTGGTCTGAGGTCCCGGGTGGGGTCCCGGGGGGTGCACAGGGCTGGGGCAGGGGCGGGGTGGGGAGCCCTAGGCCGCCTGTTCTCCGCCCGCCCGGGTTCACGCCTCCTTGACCTCCTCACCGCGTGCCCGCTCAGTGACCCGGGTTTATGGGTGCCCATCTCCTCCCACAGCTGCGGGCCGTTATCGCCATTGTAGGAGGGTGCCAGGCTCTAATTGTTTTATGGTCTTTTCACACTCGGGAGGAGGACAGACAAGGCGCCCTGGCCGCTGGTCCACTCTCCGAGTGCCAGGAGGCACAGATCCGGGCAGAGGGACTGGGAACGCCCCAGAACGGCCTCCCTACTGGGTTCTGACTCACCGCCCTGGCAGCGCGGCTCGCCTGTGTCCTCTGCCCTGTCCTGGCCCCTGCTCCCCCCATGTCCTCGTACCCCATGTCCCCTCTTCATGCCGCTCTTGTGTGGGGCCCCAGGGGCCTCCGAGCATCAGCCCCAGGCTTGGCCCAGTCCCTGCTGCCCATGGCCCGGCTGTCCCTGCCCGATGGGTGCCTGGTTTCGGTGCCATTGTCCACCTTATTCAGCCCTGAGCCTGTGCAGATGGTGGTCTGGAAAGCACCATGCAGTGCCTGCTTTGTGAGCGAGCTGGATAGTTCTTATTCCGGAGGAAGAGATGTGCAGCTATCACAGGCCCTCTGTGGCAGTCAGTGAACACTCGCCAGCACCCTGCAGCAGTGAGGGCGACTTGGGAGAAGGTAAAGCCAAGTTGCTGCTGCGAATGGTGCCCTCTGGGGTTGTGCAGTGCAGGCCTGCAGCAGTGTACGTGGTGGCTCTGAACCCGAGCCTGAAAGGGCACGACTGCTCAAACACAGCACAGGAGGACATTCACGCTCTTGAGACAGCAGGCTGCCCCTCCGTGCCCTGGCCTGGGCTTCTTGCTCTTGGACGTCGCCTGGTGTGGGGCCCCCTAGCAATCTGACCCTCAGGCTTGGTGTTCCGCTCAGCCGATCCCTGGCCCAGAGCCAAGGGTGCCAGGTTGGGGGCAGAAGGCCTGGCACAAGTCAGTTCTGCCACTCGTGGCTGTGCGAGCCCCAACAGGTCCCTCTGCCGGGCGGGGCCGACCCACCTTCCCCAGGAGGGCCGGCGGGTGGTACAGTGGCGCACGCTCCCTGGAGCGGCAGTGCCTTGTCTGGGAGACAGCGGGTCAGCGTCTGTGCAGGTCCAGGGCCGCTGAAGCCCTGGGCGAGGACAGGTGTGGGGGTCAGAGCCGGCGGGGCAGCCACACTGGCTCTGGTGTCTGGCTGGCCAGGCGCTGTGTGGCTGCACTTGCCGTGCACACTGGGTCTGAGGGTGCAGGGTCCTTGGGGGGAGAGGACGCTCCTGCACTTGGCTCTCTCGGATCTGTGTTGAAACCCTACCACGCGCATGCGCCGCCTTCCCGGCGCCTCCCAGTCCACGCCGGCCCCGCTGCCCTGCGCCGGCCGCTCTCCTCCTGTCGCTGTCCCAGCCAGCGGCGTCCTCGGAGGTGGCCAGCATTCGCCCTGGTGCCCAGGCCGCACGTCTCCCAGAGCCCTGGCTCCTTCTGCACGGAGTCCCTCTGTCCTGGCTCTGGGACCCTCGTCCCTGCCTCCTTTACTGGCCCTGTGTTTTCAGTGCCCCGCCCCTCCCGGAGCCCCTAGGCCCGCACCCGCTGCCCGACTGCCCTGCTACCTGCACCCCAGGTCCCTCTCCTGGCTGTGAGCTCACTGGCCCAGCCACCTGTCACCCCGTCCCGCGTCTCCAGTGCAGAGTCCCCAGCTGGGCCCCCAGCGCCCCCTCCCAGTTGCCCAGACCCGGTCCTGCAGATCAGCGGCCCGAGCGCCCTAACCACTGCTCTTGGGGACACAGGGACGCGGGTGCGACTTGGGGGAGGGGCCGCAGGGGCCCCATAAATCCCCAGGAGGGGATGTAATTGGCAGAAGACACAGCAGGACCGACGCTGGGCCACCCGAGTCTGCTCTGCTCACTCTGAGCACTGTGTTCACCGCCAACCTCTGCTGGACCCGCAGCACCCTGGGGAGTCTCCGGGGACGCTGGCCACTCTGGCTGGAGCCCCCAAGGTGCACCAGGAAACCCGGGCCACCTCCTCCAGCGCAGCCCGCTTCTCTCGCCACACTCTCCCCTCACCAAGCCTCAGAAGCCTTCCGTTCCCAGAGTCAATGGCCCTCCCCTGGGAAGTCCCCCTAGAAGCCCTTAGCAGGGCTGGTCTGGGCTGGAGCTGACCAGTGAGACTGATCACAGAGCTCTGAGCCACGGAGGGAGAAGGGGCCACTGCTCCATGAGGCTTCACTGGAGGGCGCAGATGTGGACAGAGCCACCTCTGAGGGCCCCAGCAGGCTGGCTCCTGGAGCTTCTTGGTAGCCTCTGGTGAGCTCATGGGGGCCACCATGGTCTCACCTCCTCAGGGGGCCCACGGGACCTGGGCCTCTGGTTCCCACATTGGATCCCCCATGGTGGAATCACAGAGTGCTGTGCCGGTCAGCTCCGTGTGACTGTGACACCCAGGTCAGCTCCGTGACTGTGACTCGCAGGTCAGCTCTGTGTCTGTGACTTGCAGGTCAGCTCCGTGAATGTGACACCCAGGTCAGCTCTGTGTCTGTGACAC